TTCTTCAGAGGCGAGCTCTCCCCAATCTTGATCAAAACCGCTTGCGAAAAATTGGCCAAAGCGCCTGACCAGTGGAAACCAGCTGAGAGATGGAATGAAGTTTATGACGACGTGCCTTGGGAAATCATGGTTCGCTACCTGCGTTACTGGCCACGTATTGGCTCCCGCATTACAGGAGGCCTCAGGCTTCTTCGACGGTACGAAGGCCCCTTCCCGAAGTGTTATCAGGTGGGTGAAGGAGAAGAACCGCTGGAGTTGCCGCGCGTTTCTCTCGTTTGTGATTTTGTTTATGTTTGGAACGACGAAGATGAACAACAACGGCAGTTTGTCCTTCAGATGAAACACCTCTCACTTGTTGCCATCCGTCTCGGTGGTCCGGGGGAACTTCCTGACCTTGATGCTGGAGCAATACCTTTGACCGACCAGCTGAGTGCAAAGTTGGGGTGGCAATAATTAATGGATCTTGAGGCGGGAAGGCAGAGTGCCAGCAGCTGGGAAGGCAGAGTGCCAGACGTTGTCGCGTCACCCAGCTGTACCCTGCTTCGCCTGCACGTGATTCGCTTGACAGTGTGGTCAACGCAGAAAAGCGCAACATCCAGCAGTTCGTAGCCACTTCACGCGATTTGTGCATCCCTAATACTATCAAACCCTAAAACTATGGCACTCTGCCTTCTAGCCCCAAACCCTAAATACTAAAGACCCTGAAACTCTAACCCTAACCCTTTCATTACCCTCAAACCCTAACACTATGGCACTCTGCCTCCTAACCCCAAACCCTAAATATACTAAAGACCCTGAAACTCTAACCCTAACCCTTTCATTACCCTCAAACCCCTAATACTATGGCACTCTGCCTTCTAACCCCAAACCCTAAATATACTAAAGACCCTGAAACTCTAACCCTAACCCTTTCATTACCCTCAAACCCTAACACTATGGCACTCTGCCTGCTAACCCCAAACCCTAAATACTAAAGACCCTGAAACTCTAACCCTAACCCTTTCATTACCCTCAAACCCCTAATACTATGGCACTCTGCCTTCTAACCCCAAACCCTAAATATACTAAAGACCCTGAAACTCTAACCCTAACCCTTTCATTACCCTCAAACCCCTAATACTATGGCACTCTGCCTTCTAACCCCAAACCCTAAATATAATAAAGACCCTGAAACTCTAACCCTAACCCTTTCATTACCCTCAAACCCCTAATACTATGGCACTCTGCCTTCTAACCCCAAACCCTAAATACTAAAGACCCTGAAACTCTAACCCTAACCCTTTCATTACCCTCAAACCCCTAATACTATGGCACTCTGCCTTCTAACCCCAAACCCTAAATATAATAAAGACCCTGAAACTCTAACCCTAACCCTTTCATTACCCTCAAACCCCTAATACTATGGCACTCTGCCTTCTAACCCCAAACCCTAAATATAATAAAGACCCTGAAACTCTAACCCTAACCCTTTCATTACCCTCAAACCCCTAATACTATGGCACTCTGCCTTCTAACCCCAAACCCTAAAGACCCTGAAACTGTAAACCCTGTGCCAGGTCTTCTTCATCCTCGTCTTCTCGGAAAAAACATTAGTTTTTTTTGTTTTAAAGTTTTTAAAAATTTTTAAAAGTTGTTTAAAGTCTTTAAAAGTCTTTCAAATTCTTTTTAAAGTTTGTAAAAGCTTTTAAAAGCGTTTAAAAGTCTTTTAAAGTATTTTTAAAGCTTTTAAATGTATTTTAATGTTTTTAAAAGTCTTTTAAATATTTTAAAAGCCTTTTAAAGTTTTGAAAAGTCTTTTAAAGTTTGCAAAAGTCTTCTAAAAGTTTCTAAAAGTCTTTTAAAGTCTTCTAAAAGTTTTTAGAATGTTTTTTCTTGCATTTGAAAGTTTTTAAAAGTCTGTAAACGTCTTTAAAAGCCAACTCTGTCGAAAAAGCCCTGTGGATCTAAACCTTGTGGTTCTGGTTCGGTGCAAAGGGGCAATGATATGGCCATGGTAGCTTAAATTTTAAATCCCTTAACAAGAACCATAATATGGAAACCGTATTACCTATAGATCCCTATTATATGGCCATGGTAGCTTGAATTAAATCCTTAGCGAGAACCCAGTCTCGGCTGAGAGGCGTTATACTTGATTTATTGGTCCTCGCACGAACAGGAGGCCAGAAGATTTGGTGTAGGGGCTCTTCGGCTGGCAGGCATAGGGTTTAGGGTTTAGGATTCAGGATTTAGGGTTTAGGGTTTAGGGTTCAGGGAAGGCGGAGAGTTTAGGATTTAGGGTTTGGGGTTTAGGGTTTAGGTCGGCATTTGGGGGCGCTGAGGTTAGGGCTTAAGGGTGCGTGCTGGTCAGTTGAAGGATTCAGAAAGGCACTGTTTCTCTAGCGTTTGGGCAGTGTTCTCAAACCACCAAGCTGTAAGCCAACGGACTGTGATACGATCTGATTTGAAAAATCCGCAATGCAAGCGTTTGCTGCATAACATGTTCATACGTTAGTATGGGTATCTTCCTGTCTTCTTCCATGTATTCACATATTCGATGCTCAAGTAGCTGTTTGACTGATGTATGCCATGCCTGGCCGAAAGACATCAGTGTGCAGAACTGCTCTGCCGAAATCCGTCTCAAAATCCTGCTTTCTTTTGCACGGCCACAAGGCATCTTAATGCATTTACAGTGCCATAGTCGATGATATAGCGAATACGACATGACCAGACCAAGATACTAAGCTTTCATGTTGAGAATTGCTTGAGGCCAAGATTGGGCGGACTGTATGTACTGCGAAAACGACTTCGTTCGAGGAGCCAGTCGAGAAATACAGTGCAGCACAGTAGACTGAGTTACAGTGGAGTACACCGAGTTGTGCTCAACTGTAGCAGGATAAAAGCAGGAAAAGGCACGATGCCGCATCGCAAAGTTCAAGATCGAACAACAGGGTAGACTATCGCGCAATAAGGGTCGATCCCAGCCTCAGTTTGACAGAAGTTGCTGAAGCAGCCAAGCATGAGAAGCTAGCATTGGGTCCAGGCGCAAGGCTTGAGTTTCGGTCAACCTGGATACCGTAACCCCTGACCACTAAACCCCTAAAAACCTAAACCCCTTTACCCTAAAAGCCCGAAAAACCCTAAACCCTAAACCCTAAAAGCCGTAAACCCTAAACCCTAAAAGCCCTAACAAACCCTAAACCCTAAACCCTAAACACTATAAACCGTAAAACCCCTAAACCCTAAAAGCCCTAAAATCCTTAAACCGTAAACGCCATAAACCGTAAAAGCCCTAAACCCCCAAAACCCTAAACCATAAACCCTAAACGCCCTAAATCGTAAAAGCCCTAAACCCACTAAAAGCCCTAAAAACCTCAAAAACCCTAAACCCAAAAACCCATAAACCGTAAACAACCCTAAACCCTAAAATCCCCAAAAGCACAGAGGGGGTGGAAGCCGGAGGCCTTGCAGTCCAAGCGGCCGCTCTTGAAGTTCGTCAGCGCAGGGCTCGGTTCCGGTGAACTGGTGTAGATACCCCTTTAAAGGGTACTATAAGGGTACTAGTACTATATGGGTACTATAAGGGTTCCTTTAAAGGGTACTATAAAGGGTACTACAAGGGTGCCTTTAAAGGGTACTATAAGATTACTATAAGGGTTCCTTTAAAGGGTACTAGAAGGGTTCCTTTAAAGGGCTCTGTAAGGGTTTGGGATTCTCGGGGGTGTAGGGCTTTAGGCTTAATGTAGGGGCCTAAAGGTTGACAATAGAATAGGTTCCTTTAAGGGTTCCTGCTAAAGGGGTCTATACGGATTACTACAAGGCGTATGATGGTTTAATGTAGGGGACTAAACATGACCAGTGCTACTTTGGGCGTTCCTTACTTTGGGTATAGTGTAATGTGCCCCAAAACCCTATTCTAATTACTAAGGCCTCTATATTAGGGTCAGAGGTTCGGAGGTTTGGGGTTTAGGGGTTTAGGCTCCAAGGGTTAGGGTTGAAGGCACAGGGCTTTGGGTATAGGTCTTTGTCGTTTAGGGTTTAGGTTTATGCTTTGGTCCATGTGCCTTGAGGCTTCCTTTGAGGTGTCCTTTGACGAGGGTTTCATCTGGGCTGTATAGGCTTGCTTACAGGGTAGGCTCCAGGTAGAACCACATGGCATGAAAGTCTGACCTTGAAGTACCTGCATCGGAACCTCTTTCAGCCCGAAGTATATACTAAATGGGTACAAGGTCAGGCCGTTAGGGTTGAGCTTTTTCAGATTTGTTGGTATGCGATCGGTGATCTGAAATCTTGAGCCCCTTTGTTCATGAACCGCGGTTGCTATGGGGCTGCTTTTGTTCGCGCCTGCCTGGGCGGGAGTTGACATTGTTTGCTGCAGGACTGATCTAGAATCTACCTACAGTCTCCATTGTAGTTCCTTTTTGGGGGTTACCTTTGAGGATCCTTAATATACTTATTTGGTTAAACCAAAAAAAGGAACTACAATGGAGACTCTAGGTAGGTGGTCTTGTAAGATCTTGCAGCCATATATCCCCTGACAAACTGCCGGTGGCCGGTCTCACCTAGTCGCTGTTGAATAAAGCCTTTAGGTTAAATACCCTTCCTAAGCGCTACATCGGCATGATTAGAGTCCTGGATATATCGTTTATGACTTAGAGTTAGTATTCTGTTACAGTTAGTCTTGTTTTCTGTTTATTAGGGCTTAGGCTGCGAGGTTCTCCTTTGTCGGTTAGCATCCGCGTGAAGCCCTGCACAAATCCCCAAATTCTAAACTCTCCTTCATGCTGTTTGCATTTGTTGAGGGCTTGGACTTGTAATTAATTAGTGGCTGGAGGTATCGGCCAGGGCTTAGACTTGTTTACCGTGATTCATTCAGATTCAGCCTTTGATTCAGGCTTGACGGGTTTGTCGTGGAGAGCCTAGTCGATAATTTATAAGCCCCAGAATCCATAGCACTAGAGCCATAAAGCCGAAAGCAAAACACGAAAAGGGATTCGACTTGCAAGCATCTCCGAGGTGTGAAGATGATCGTCTTCCTGACCTTCTGGCAAGCACTTCTGCTGCGCCGGCCTCTGACCAAACCGTCCCAGATTCTTTTCGATGGGGTACCTAAATAGCCTTTAAAGTATACACCTATACACCCCTAAAAGCCCTAAACCCGCAAACCCTAAATCCCTAAACCCCAAGTAGCAAAAGCGCCCACACTCCCGAGGAAAAAACCCGGAGGTTCTCCCCTTGGAGTGCCGCGATCCGTAGAGGAGCCCGGAATGTAGCGCTTAGAGGAACCCTTACAGGAAACTCCCAAAGAGACACCTCAAAGGAACCCTTAAGGGAGTTTCTGCGGAAACGTTTAAGTTCGGGACGCAGAGGATTTGAGAGTCGAGAGGTCAAGGTTTTAGAGTTTGGGTTTAATTGGGGGGTTTAGAAGCTTAAGCCAGGACCCTAAATCGCGAGAATCGCAGCACGAACAGGAGGTTTGGCTCGCATTCATGCAGCGGCAAGCCACTGGGACGAAGAGGAGAGGCCTGCGGGCTGTCAAGCAATTGGAGCGGATCCGACACCCACAGCATCGTGACAACTTGGCTACGCGCCGCTGTCTTCTTCTGCCTCAGTCCCTTCCTTTAAGGGCGTAGGGCTTTTGGAACAAAGCCTAGCCGCCCGAATGACACCGCTCAACACTCAAGCATTCAGACAACCGAGGCCTCTGGCGCCGCTGCCCGGCAGCACGTCGCGATGGGAGGCGCGCCCTTTGGGTTCAGTCTACTCGAAGAACTCTAGGTCCTAGGGGCTATAGGGTTTGGACTTCAGGCTTGCAGGGATCAGAGGTAAACGGTTTGGGAGACAAGCGGATAGAACCCGCCCCCGCCCCTTCCCAAAACAGCAGGAAAGAACAAGGTAGTCCACTATTTTCGGAATTTAAAGGATTTAAGTGAAAATAGGGCTTAGGGCTGAGAGCAGCCTTCTTTACCAGTAAGGCATTCAGTTTTTGAATCTTCTATCAATGGCTGAGGTTAAGGTATCCCATCCATTCTTTATTTCAGGTATGCATCATTCGTATATACTTTGGCCCCAGATGTACCTAAATCGGAAGTACTTTAGGACCAAAGTCTATACTCATGGACCCTCAGGGAAAAGCTTCAGAATGGGGTTGAAGGTTGAAGGGCCGGATCTCCTCTTCCCAAACCCCAGGCTTGAACCCTACGGCCCTACGGTTGATATAAACCCTGCATTACCCAATTGAATAAGGAATATAGCATAATTCCCATACTCTAAGGTCATTAAGGGTATGCAGGATGTATATCATCAACAGTAAGCCTCAAGAGCCCTGACTCCAAGCCTCCAAAACGTCCCAAAACCCCCAAGGCCTTAAATGCTCAGAGCTTCAAATCCAAACCACTAGAGCCCTATATCCGCAACCTGGAGACCCAAGCCCTATGTGGGTAGTTATCAAAATTAGGGTCCCTTGTTGGGCTCCTATTACAATACGGCACCTAACATCTAATTAGGGTACCCAAAAAGGGACCAGAACTTTGATAACTACCCATGTAATTCAACTCCAAGCCTGCTGCAAGGACTTCATCCTCTCGTTGGAGATGATCGTGCCCTGGCCGGCGTAGGTGTAGGGTTGTGGAGGGCTCTACTGGGCATACGATCCGCGCTCTGCCACAATTTGGGCGCTACGGATTCATATTTTGGGGTTTGGGGCTTGAGGGTGCTAGGCTGTCCGGTTTTGGGGCTGGTTTTGGGGATTTTAGGGTTTCAGAAGTTGGAAACTGTGTTGCAAGCCAACTTCATTCGTCCCTCGGACTGCTTGGGAACCTCCTCGAGCCGCTTGAAGGCGAGCATGCCACACGGGCCAACCCTAAACCCTCAACATCCTTCAACCCTATTCGGTCATTGACCCATTGCTGGGCAAGGTCAAGGACTTTCCACAGACTTTGTCTCTCATCAGCGGCCACTTGCCACTCTATTGGCTGGTGGCTTTCGGTCTACGAAGCCCTCCAGGAAAGCGCTGATGATCGATTGCTTCGTCTCTGGCAGGCCGGCTTCACAGCCACCATTCAGATACATCTGGTGGAGTCGGACGGCCAGCTTGCTCGTCTATGCATTGCTTCCTCTGAAGCGCTGAGAAATTTGCAGGCCAGCAACGACAGCTTGATGGCTTTCTGCGAGAGGCTGGTGGTCTTGACAAAGTCTTACAAACTGCCGAAACAAAGAAGGACGGGGTTTTGTTCCAGGGCAGGCACACCAACTTTCGATCTACAGCCCTGAATATGCCTGTAATTAGAATACTAATTGTTTGTCACCTAAGGAGAGAAGCACCAACCCCAGAAATCCCTAATCCCTGAACCCCTAACCCCTACACCGTTAAACCGCAAGCCCTAAACCGTTTCCTTCAAAGGAGTCCTTGAAGGAACCCTAGGCATCCCGAATCCTCAACCCAAAATACCCGAAGCAACCCTAAACATCCCGAATCCTAAACCCTAAACCCGAAGAAACCCTAAACATCCCGATTCCTACACCCTAAGCCCTAAAACCGTTTCCTTTTAAAGAAACCTTAAATATCCCGAATCCTACGCCCTAAACCCTAAAGCCGTTTCCTTTTTAAAGGAACCCTAAAGATCCCGAATCCTAAGCTTGCGGCACTCAGGTCTTCGGGGTGCTGATGAACGTCGCCTTCTCCTGGCCTTAGACCCAGGATTTCGGGTCTTTAGGGCACTTTAGGGTTTCGGGGTGCAGGGGTTTAGTGTTTGGGGGTTTAGTGGTTTAGGGGTTAAGGGTTTGGGATTTCGGATGGCGGGTTTTAGGCCACTTTAGGGTTTCGGGGCTCAGGGGTTTAGTGTTTAGGGGTTCAGTGTTTTATGGGTTCGGGGTTTGGGTTTTCGGATGTCGGGTTTAGGCACTTTAGGGCTGTAAGGCTTAGAGATTTTAGCCAGGATTTCGGGTTGAGGGCAGTTTAGGGTTTAGGCAGTTTAGGGTTTTGGGGACCTATGGGGTTCCGGCGGTTTCGGGCTTTGGGGCTTGTCTGGTTTAGGTGGTGTAGGGCTTTGGGGCTTGCAGGCTGTAGGAGTTTGGGGTTTAGACGGTTTAGGCGTCTAGTGCTACTAGTTATTTCGGCTACTTGCTGGCAAGACGGTAGTTTGTTTGAGCAATTGTAAGAAGTGCTGCAAGTGGGATCCGGTGGTCTAGTTGCGCAGCTACCCGCATGATAACTCTCGTGCATTCCCGGAAAAGCGCGCACCCCGCAATTCCCGATCGACGATGCGAGAAACACAGACACCAAGCCTGATAGCTCTCAGAAGCTGTGTGTTTCAGTCCAAGGTATCAGAACGCTTTCGCAGTCTGGATCCCACCTTGGCACCCCCAACTTTGGCATACGCACCTCTACATCCTCTCAAAGCTAGTCCCTTTCTGTCGTCATAGGTTCCTTAAAAAACACTCCACAAAGGGAGCCCTTCCTACATTCTGCTAGTCACGATGGGCTCAGGTATTTTGGTTTTAGGTCGTCTTGTTTGTATTCCAGCATTGCATCCTCTTGCCCATGCTGTTGTCGCTCCTCCGAGCAATCGCCATTGTCTTTAAATGAATAGTTACGGTTACGTCAGCCCTGCATCCTGAACCCACCATGACGAGTCCTATAGCCTTGTCAACTCAAAGCCCCAAACCGAACAGACCACTTTTTGCCTTTAGGCGGGAATTCAGCATGGCACCCCCTCGGACGCCGCCAGCGCAGCGGCCAGGCAACCTTTCTGTCTCACTTTATCGGACGTTGGTTTTGATGTTCTTGGGATGTGTGAACTGGGATTGGGGGGGCGAACTCTCTCCACGAATCTTGACATCCTAATCACTAGGTCCTAAGACCCTGCACCTCACACACGGTCGACTCCCAAATCACCGACATTGACTCTCAAAACGTGCTATTCCTAGACGTACTCAACCTATACATCCAAAGCCCCAAGACCAATCCCTGAACTTACCGATGTTTTCATGATGGGGTGCAGGGGGATCGGAGTCATAGTATATCATGGTTTTTCTTAGGTTCCCTTGGCATCTTCACGCGAACTATAAACTTCCTGTCCGGACCTTTCAAGGTCCCGATTTGTAGCCCCCTGAAGCCCCAACGCTCAGAAGTCTCCGTAAACCCCAAGTAAACCCCAAGTAAGGGCCCCGATTGTAGACCCCTCGAGCCCAAAAGCTCGGAAGTCACCCTAAACCCTAATTCACCCTCCCTCAGGGTCCATGTACTCATATAGTGTATACATTGGCCTTAATGTAGTCCCTATATAAGTACATTGGGGCCCATGTATCTCTATATGGGCACATGGACCCCTAGGGTAATAGTTGAATAATATTCAGATATAGATATGGGAGTTTCCGAAAATTATGTAGGGGTACCTTATTTGGGGTCCTTACAAGAAGGATCCTACTATTTCTCTATATGGGTGCATGGACCCTTAGGGCCTAAGCCTCTGAAGCCCAAAAGCTCAGATTTTTGTCAGGCATTGACCTTCTCGACCTCGAGCATGCGAAGACGCCCGATCGAGGCAGAGAAGAATAGCACTACCTTGCATGTACATATATATATATATATATATATATACATATATATATATATGTATGTATTCACTAGGTAAAATGCGCACATCTGTATAATAATTAGGCAGGCCTTTGGGACATGTTACATGATCCCTTAGTGGGCCTAAGAGCCATAGAGGATCTTATGATCTTATTTCCGAGTATTTCCAAAGACTGTAACGGGCCAACCTAGGAGATGGTCAGTGATCGTAGTGATCCTACGTTCCAGACGGCACCAGTCTCTCCAGAGCTGTTAGGTGCAGAGACATGTTACCGACCAAGCAAGGCAACAGACCCTTCCCTCTGCAACTTCTATTTCTTAGGGCTCCTTAGGGTTCCTATAGTGTACGTAATGCCACAAAATGCTGTTCGAAGTCCTCAGGCCCCTAATACACATGCCCACTCTGCAACAACAGCCCTGTGCCCAGGCGGCCGAAGTTTCTGCAAACGCAATAATAATAACAACAATAGTCACAGTCATAACCATGATCAGAATAGCTATGATAATAACGGTACTAAAAGGAACAACACTGCGATTTGAAATCATACAGTCGTAAGAACCGTAATCGTTATGATAACACTAATAGAACAGCAAATGTCATACCAATAATAATGATGACAGTTATGATGATAAGAAGCAACAGTAATTAATCCAAATCAGACCCCAGGGCTCCACCTAAATAAAGGTTCCGAACTCTGTATCGTAAGATGTAGCCCATTAGCCCATTGTTAAGGTGAGGGTTAAGGGCTTACAGGATTTAGGGTTCAGGTTTTCGGGGTCTGGGGTTTGAGGTTGAATCATGATTAATGATGGTAAACATGACCACGCGCATGATGCTGGTAATAGGGGTCATTACTGGCAGGGCTGTAAGCCATCGTGTTCAAATGTTCCCGATAACGCGGGCCCTCGCTAGTGCTGCATGGACCAGAGATCCAGCGTGAGCGCTGAACCCAGGAACCCAAAACACCAAAGCCCGAACCCGAACCGTTAACTACCAGGCATTGTGAACTAGACAGATGCACTATACAGGGGTTCGGAACGTGCCTTAGTTCGCCCTAAGCCAACCCGAACCTTAGGGGTACTTAGAATTAGTTTTTAATTTTTGGTTATTCTAATTCCTAAGAAACAGCTAAAATTATAACTTTTGCTAGGTAGGAACACTTTTCATCTGCATTCAGGCACCGTGCAGTCTTCTTCGGCGGCCCAACCGGCTAAGGAGCGATATGGGTGTTTCAAGGCTGTACTCGCGTTTACCTGCCTGAGAAAGGCTTGCATGAGGCTCACACTTTGAATTCCGAGGCTTAATTATCCAATTGCTACTTTAATCCCTACTGATTTCGGGACCCGAAAAGAACACAAGTTAAATTGGGCAGTACCCGGGTAACGCCAGGGGCAGTTTTTGGTGTCCGCAGCAGCTAAGCCCCAAAGCCCTAAAGCCGCCTCGAATCTCCACGTTCCCAAAGCAAAACCGCTTGAGCCTCAACTCTAAATGCCCGAATCCGTAAACTACTCAAGCCTAGGGTTAAATCTCTAAGCCCTTAAGCCCTTCATCCTTAAAGATTTTAAACACTAGATCCGAGCTTCAACCCCAAACCCGAAATCCCTGGCCTCCTAAACCCCAGATCCTTAAAGCCGAAGCACGAGCTCTTCCGCCCTGCCAGGAAGCTCATGCATAGTTCTAAGTGGGTTTTTTCACGGTTGATGGTATAAATCCTGCATTACCGTAGTGACCCTCAACTATGGGAATTATGGTCTATATTCCTTACGATGGGTAATGCAGGATTCATATCATCAACCGGAAGTAGGTTAACCAGGTGGGTGACTTATGACCATACGTACAACTACCCTAAAGGCTAAACCTCCAAGTGCAAGGAAGCAACAGCTCCGAGCTCTGAAGACCCGGGCCGAGAACTCAGGGACCTTTACCCTGGAGGGTGATTGGGGTGTTTAGGGCTAACAGGGTTTAGGGTTTAGGGTTTAGGGCTAACAGGGTTGATGGGCATTCTAGAGCAACTCCCTCTGAAGGCGCCTGGCAGTCAAAATCCTTGCGTGGCGGTTTCTAGGGAAGTCCCTGTCCTGTGCCCTACCCTACTGGTAAGCCCAGGTTGGCCACAGGTCCTACAAGGACTAGGGTTTAGGGATTAAGGATTAGGGCCAAAGCCCTGCACTCATACAAACGCAGTGGCCTGAACCAAAGCCAATTTAGCCTTAGGTCCCACAAGGCCCAAAAAGCCCTGCAATCTCATAAATGCGGGCCCTTAATCCTAAAGCCCATCTAAACCACAAAGGTTGAGTAGGATAAGGTATAACGTCATATTGTTACCATCTGTATATACCTGTATTCCACTATCAGAGCATATGATGCCCCGCCGATGCCCCTAACCCTGAACCCTAAAGCCTGATCCCCTTGACCACAACAAGTCCATCGTAGCAATAATGCTAGTATGGTAGTCATTATAATGGTAGCAGAAATACAATAGAACAATGGTACGAATAACAATAACAACAATCCCTAAACCCCTTCGTGACTGAAAGCCTGAACCCCAACCCTGGAGGTCGAGCCAGTGTCGTCCAGAATGCCAAAACTGCCTTCTGCTGGGATGCCCAGAAATTGAAGCCGTTCGGTGCCTCACGTTAACAGAACGATGGTTGAGGGTTTCAGGTCTTTTGAGGCTGTATGGCTTTGGCGTACTTAAGCCTGAACCCCGGATAGTCCGTCACCTCTCAGAATGCCCACGGAACCCCTTACAACCCCTTTCAGCAGGATCTCCGTCGCAATCCCAATGCGCGTTTCAACCATGTAGTTCCTAAAGTGTAAAAGCCCTAAACCCTAAACCCTAAACCCTAAACCCTAAACCCTAAACCCTAAACCCTAAACCCTAAACCCTAAACCATGTAGTTCCTAAAGTGTCAAAGCCCTAGGCTTTCCAAATCCCTGAAGCCCGAAAGTTGCAACCCCAACCTGAGCAATCCCTGAAGGTCAGTCACGCCTGCAACCTAACCGTTTGTCATAGTTGGGTAACATTTTACACTTTTATGGGTACTTAAACCCAATAAGGAACAAGAATTTAAATTTTTACTCCCAGCCCGACCATGAACTAGACATCTGCTGAATTTTGTTTACTTAGGGGTTTAGAGAACCAAGCTATGCAAAGGTTGTTGGGTATTTTTGAGTCCAGGGACAAGATATACTAATCCAGAAGCCTGGCCGATTGCGACTGCTGGCATCTGGACCTGTATAGTGATCTTCATTGTTCTGACATTCGTCCTGCTGTTTTCTCATGTAGTAATGTAAGTGCTCAATTGATGTTGCCGCACTCCTGGTTCCTGGAGATAGCCTCGAAGAAAGCCCGCCACTCCCTCAACAGCCCGAGCTGCTTCTGCGCCAGATCCCCGAGACATCGTCATGGATGCCTCGAACAATTTCTCCAAAAGGTACCTTGGCTTCGATGGATTTAGACGGGCCTACCCTAGACACTAAGCCCTCAACCTGCGGGAATTTTGGGTTCGGGGTAGGGGGTTTGAGGGCTAACTATTGGTGGCAAGATTTTGGATTTTGGGCTCTGAGGCTTCAGTCGTCGGAGACTGTGACCTAAAACATAAGGTTTGGGTTTTAGGGTCACGGAACTCCAGTAAGATATTATATACCTCGGTTTCCGTCTGAAAGCTGTGCATCGAAACGCAGGGGTACCTCGATTTTTCGGGGTATCATGTCTCACATGGAACCCGGAACCTCCAAAACCCCTAAATTAAGGAATATACCTTAAAATCATATTAGGGGTCCTATTCTAATTTAAGGTATATTCCTTAATTAAGGGGTTTTGGAGCTCTGGGAAATCCCGAACATAATACACGCTCCATCCGGCAAAGGCCGACCCCCTAAAGCTCTTCAGATAACATGCTCTGTGAAAGTTGAAGCTAGTGAAAGCCATGTCATAGGCGTTCGGGACACTGCAAGCGCAGGAACAGCTTTCATGGGCTTACTTTACCAAATATCAAGGCTTGAATAATGAGGTACCAGCATTCCGCCGTAGCATTCCCCTGTAGTCCCTCCGTAACTACACTATAACACACCTCATAAGCATCTTAGTCCCTCAGTACCCAACCTTTAAACTTTCTTGGCTCTTATAGTGCATTAGTAACCAGAGAGTTTACCTTGTGTCTGTGCCATAGCACACCTCATAAGCATGTTCTAGTTGTCAATCAAGGCACCCTTTAACCCGAAAGCCCTTCGTATCCCGAGACATGAGCCCCAAATCGCACTCCCAGCCCAAAGCCCTGCACCCGCAAACCCAAACCAACTCCCACAGAGTTCCTCAACTCCAAACCCTCAAGCCTAAAGCCTCCTAAACTCGAAACCCTAAAACCTAAACCTTGATAGAGCACATTATACAGCCCGAGGTACAAGCAGCACGTCCTGATCGAAAGTGCGGGGTCTCCCAAAGCCGCAATGCGCGTGGACACCGGTAGATCTATAGAAGCCTTAGAATCTTGAGATGGGAGTTTCCGAGAATAAGGGGCCCTTATAATAAGGCTCCTACTATTCAGGGTACTATATTAGGGTCCCCTACTTTCGGAAACTCCCAAATAGGGTGCTTGAAATTCTGAAGAGATCTGTCAGGGGTTTACTCTGAGGTTCTTTACATAGTCGTGGGGTATATTCCTAGTATGATTAATACAAATAAAGGTGTCGTGTGGTATATTCCTAGTATGATTAATACAAGAAAAGGTAACAACGGTTCCGATCCCGAGCCCTGAACCCTAATCCCTAAACCCCGATGTTGTCAAAAGGTGACAGGCACCCTTCGGCTCCATAGTAGGTCCTGTTTTGGAATTCCCTTATAGGATTCAAAATATGAACCCCCACAAAGGAGCTACTGCTGTTGATGGGCAAAATCCTGCATGACCCATTATAAGGAATGTACCATAGTTCCCATAGTTTAGAGTCCTTAGGATCATGCAGGATTTTGTCCATCAACAGTATGGAGCCTCAGGGCAGTTTGATTTAGGGTTTAGAGATATGAGGAGGACTTAGGGTTCAGGGTTTAGAGTTAAGAAGGAGGTTTAAGGGTATAGAACTATTAGGAGGGTTCATGGTTTAGAGTTAAAAAGGAGGGTTTAGGATCTAGAGCTATAAGGAGGGTTTAGGTCTTAGAGTTATAAGGAGGATTTAGATTTAGGATCTAGAGTTCATAAGGAGGGTGTAGGGGTTTAGGGCTTAGAGTTAGATTTTCAGGTTAGGCCTTCGGGGCCCCAACTTGCGGTTACAACTTGGAGGATCCCCGAGTGTCGTATTTTGGCTTCAGCCTTCGGGGGCTTTCATTACTTTTTCAGGACTGGGGGTTGAGGGTTCAGGGTTGAGGGTTCAGGACTAGGGGGCTGAGGGTTTAGAGTTTAGGATTTAGGGTTTAGGGTTGAGGGTTAGGGTTTGGGGTTTAGAGTTCAGGGTTCAGGGTTTAGGGTTTAGGGTTTAGAGGCTGAGGGTTCAAGGTTTAGGGTTTAGGATTTAGAGGTTGAGGGTTCAAGGTTTAGGGTTCAGGGTTCAGGGTTTGGGGTTGAGGGTTCAAGGCTTAGGGTTCAGGGTTCAGGGTTTGGGGTTGGGGGTTCAAGGTTTAGGGTTCAGGGTTCAGGGTTTGGGGTTGAGGGTTCAAGGTTTAGGGTTTTCAGGGTTTGGGGTTGAGGGTTCAAGTTTTAAGGTTTAGGGTTCAGGGCTGAGAGTTAGGATTTGGGGTTGAGGGTTCAAGGTTTAGGGTTTAGGGTTCAGGGTTCAGGGTTCAGGGTTCAGGGTTTAGGGTTTAGGGTTTAGGGTGTAGGTAGGGTTTAGGGTCCCCAGGGAGCAATGTCACTATCATAAACCCAAGTACTAATTTTCAGGCCAGGCTTTTTTGGACCCTTATAAAGACCCGGAATGAAACCTTTACAACACTTATAAGAACCCTTCAGCCCCGCGTGTCCGAGGCCCTTACCCATAAATCCTAAACCCTAAATCCTAAACCTCAAACCCTAAGCTCTTGGCAAATGGAATAGGGCAGTGCATGACAAGAACAAACCTGGGGTTATGAAGACCCCTTGGTCGTCCCTACACCCTATACCCTAACCCCAAACCCTAAACCCCTAAACCCTAACCTCTAAACCCTAACGCCTACTTCCTAAGTCCTAAACCCCAAGCCCGGAGTTGTACAGACCCCTTTGTCTGTTCGAGGCCCAGGACTACGAGCTGGAAAGGCCGAAGACGCCGGAAGGCCAGGGGCCGTTTTTTCTTCTATTGTTGGGTTTGGGGGTGCATTTTTATAGGTTTCGCTGTTGTTGTGTTGTTACAGGGTGCGTAGTGGGCTTGTACATGCGAGGTTCCAGATGTTGGTTGTGTAAGTCAACCGGTGTTAGTTCTATTGTGCATATTTCTGTGTTTCTGTCCTGTTTGAGCGTTCTGTAAGGGTTTTGCATAGGATTTCTTCTTCATGCAGGAGGTTAGAGTTAGGGTTTGAGGGCTATTCCTGTTCCGGGGAGAGTTGTGCGCTTTGAGGGTTGTGCTGTTTGGGTTTGCAGGTTTTTGTTGGTGGTGTTGGTTGCTTGGGGGGTCAGGTTGAGTTGGATCTTCGTCTTGACTTTACCGCAGGTTCTGGGACCATGATGTCGTAAGTTTCTAACAATCATATTAGCCTTCTAGTGTGTGAATATAGAGCTGTTCGTATTATTGGTTGGGCTGTGCATCTGGGTATACCAGTAGCGCTTGCAACCAGAAGCAAAAGAACACCAGCGTCTTACAGGCATGAGAGTCTTGTGTTCAGCCGCTTCATCTTTTAGAAGGATTCCCTGTCGTGTTTCAGATTGAGGCATGGCGATAAGTATGCCTTGAAGTCATGATCCTGCTGACAACCCTGCCGCAAATGCCCTCCGCCCTTCAGGGAGGTTTCTTTTATCCCAGAGTTGTTCTCAACCCTAAACCCTTAACCCTTGTAACCCTTAACCTCAAACCCTAAAACATTTGAATCCGTGGTCCTGGCCCAAAGGCTCTCTGGATATGGTGCCTTCTCTAAGTTGGGGTACCTTTTCGGTCCCCAAAATAGCAAGGCATCCTCAGAACAAAGGACCCTAAAAAGGGTCCGGAGCTTTTTGGCGTGTATGTGGGTGTAGGGTTTTAAACCTCTTGAGCATTTGGGTTTCGTGTTTCGGGCTCTAAACCTTTTGGGCGTAGGGTTTTCTGGTGGATCCGAATCCCGATTATCTTAGCGTTCAGACCTTACATGTAAGGGGTCATATTCTACTGTTTTGTCGGGTTTGGGCCACAGGTAGGCTTTAGGGCCCAGCAGTTTAACAGGCTTTTGCGAAAACAGGTGTTTGGCTACTTGGAGCCTTCACCCTAAACCCTAACTATCTGTCCGCCTTCAGTCCTGAACCCTGCGCCTCTAAGCAAACGAGCGCTTGGACCCTCAAGCATCCCTAAACCGCAAGAGTTGATCTCCTTGAACCCGCCGCACTCTGACCCCCCCAAATTGGGGTTATAAGTATAGTTACCTTAATAATAACCCTAGTTACTAAGTTACTAAGTGCCAGGATCCTTGAAGTAATCCTCAACCTTGCTATACTATCCCCAATTTCAAACCCCAAGGCCCCTGTGAGATCTAACGCCGTCGCAGGGATCAGTGTGGATCTCCTCGACGATGCAAAGGGCAGCAGCATCGCGCGCAGCGCGAGGAGCCAACCACTCAGCGATTTGGAGTTTAGGGTTTTGGGGTCCAAGGCTTTCAATCGGCTTTGGGTTTGTGGGCTTGGGTTGAGAAGCAAGGTCTATAGCTGGAAGTGAACCAGCACAGCGTCTTTTCCTACTGGTTTAGCATGCAGTTCGGCGATTAGTATTTGACACTGCAGCAACTCATGTTCCTATTGAGGAATGAGCGGGATCGCGCGAATATTGGCAATCGACAACCTCATAACGGTAAGCTTTATACATCCTACACCCTGAGCCCCCAATATGCCCCGAAATCCCACACCCTAAACCCTCCAACGTGGAAAGTGTCAGCTGTAGGCCAACACGAATCCTGAAACCTCCAACCGTCTCCAACCAAGCCTTAAGCCTATAAGGCCCTGAAGCGTAGACCCTGACGCCTAATCCGTACAAAGATACTGTAGAACTGTAGAACCCTAAACCCCCGGTTTGTTGTGGCCATCCGTTCGGAGGCTCCCTGAACCCTAAACCCCTAAACCCTAAAGTCTAAACCCCTTAACCCTATAAACCCTTAAACCCTAAAAGCCTAAACTCCTAAACATCTAAACCCTAAAGCCTAAATCCGATCCGAGGCTCCCTGAAACATCTAAGACCGCCAGTCTTCAAGCTGGGTTGGGGCACCGAGCAATGCCTGCAAAGTTTTTCGGGTTGCAGGTTTAGTGTTTCGCATTCTTAGGTAATATCAGTTTTGGGTTTGTGGTTTCAAGGTTTCGGGTTGAAGGTCTTGGGTTTCGGATTTGGGGTATTATCAGTTTTGGGTTTTGGTGTTAGGGTTCGGAGTTTCGGGTTTAGTGTTTCGGGTTTGGGTTTTTGGTCTTGGGTTCAGAGTTTTAGCGTTTCGGGTGCAGTATAGATCTCGAGCTTCTTGTTTAGTGCTTTGAGTTTGTGGGTTTTGGTGTTGGTTTTGGGTTTTTTCGGTTTCGGGCGTAGTGGCTATGGAATTGGGTTACCGTTTGCGGCGTGGGGTTAGGTTTTGGAGTTTAGGGGGCAGGGCTTCGGCCTTGGGGTTCCCGCTTCCTTACCCAAAGGGTCCTATGTACCGATATAGTAGGCTGTAGGGTTTCCATATTGGGAATTACTATTATGCCTTAGGGAAGCATCCCCTATAACAGTACATAGGACCCTTTGGGTTACAGGGTTCTGTGAGGCTCGTTTAGGGTTTAACGTGTACTGTAGGACTTGGGGCTTCAGAATACTTAGCGTTTAGGCTCGAGTTTTCCCATGGGGGGTTTTGGCAAGGGTTTCACACGATGTTACAAGGTGAAGCTTCTTCAACACCAGAAGGCCATATTGCAGACTTATTGGAGTCTACTGTAAGGGAACGTTGTACTTCCTTGTCAGTGCTGTGTTCACCATATTGCAAGCGTTATAGATCATGGACCAAAATGGAGCTACCACAAGAACCTCAATTTGCGAGTCCTTCGCTAACTAGACCCTATAAACCCTAAACCCCACGCCCCAAAACCCTCTTGCTGAGGTAAGGCCCGGGGGGCGTCGCCAGACAGCGGCGGCAGCCTCAAATCTTGGTGTTTTGGATCTTTAGGGTTTACAGGGCTTATAGGGTTCAAGGGGCTTGTGAGGTTCGTAGGGTTTATAGAGTGAGGGGATTAGGGCTCATGGAGGGTTTCGGGTTTAGGCTTTGAGGGGTGTTTCGGGATTTGGGCTGTCGACGTCTTTGTGTTTAGGAGTTGACCGTTCCGTTTGGTTGTCGGCTTTAGGTGTGTAGGGATTTCGGTGTACGCGAGCCTTGGGCGGCTTTACGATTTCGAGGTGCTGGGTATCGAAGTCAGAGCTCGAGGGGTTTGGCTGGTGATGGTGGGGCCTCGTGGGGTTTATAGTCCGGCTGGTCTAACCCTAAGGGTCCATGCACCCATGTAGTATATACATTGGCCTTAATGTAGTCCCTATACAGGTACATTGGGGCCCATGTATCTCTATATGGGTACATGGACCCTTAGGGTAAATAATCGGGGTTCCTGCGATCTCGACTCTGTCTCAGGTCGAGGCAGCGACGAAGTCCAAGCGGCCGAAGGCAGACAAAGCATTTGTGGACTCTCTTTTTGAAGTGTACGCACAATTCCGGGCTATGGCTTTTGGGGCTTGGATCCTGGGGTGGTGCTGAATCCGTGGGTTTTGTATCCCAGACCAAAGCCCTGAAAAGTTGCGTTTCACAACAGTAAACGTGAAATTAAAGGATACAGCATATCTGAAAGCAACGTGGTGTGTCATCGTCTTCTGGGAATTGTCAGCTCTTTCCTGTGATTCAACCATCCTTCGTCCAACCCCACAGGGTCCGAGTAACTACCCTAATAGTAGGGTTCTAGGTCCCAGGATCCATATTCTGAATGGCTTTTGGACTTCGAAACCTCACTATTTGGGTACTTGGACCCTCATCCAGCTGGACTTGCCAATCCCACGGGAAAAAGTTCCTGTGAATCTGTATTGGGGCACAGCAAGTTTCGTAAACGTGCTTCACATCTTCAAGGAGACTGTAGCCGTGCTGCTCTTAGGACATAACACTCATTACAAAGGACTCATAAATCTTGATGTTTTCCAAAAGCTAGCTACACGTAGCAGAGTTGACGTCCTGATAATTTCACCGTTAGGTTGATGGAATGTTAAGAGAAGTTCATTTGTGGCTTTGTGTTGACAAGATAGGAAATCAAATCGTAAAGTTTTCTTGTCCCAAGGCAGATTGAAATCAACAAATGTCAACACCTACCAAAACCGTTTTATCTTGGAGGCAGCACCTCCCCCGAGGGGCGGAGTGACGTCCGAGCCCCAATTTTTCGTCCGTGCCGGCTTATGCAGTAAATGAAGTCCATCATATGTATAGAAGGTTACTATTCCATATTGGCTGTAAGCTCAACTTTTCAACTTTTGGGGTTCTTATAAGGTAGTCGATTCTGAAAGTATCAACTATTGTTTCAGGGGGTTTTGGGCCAGTGAGAATAAGCCCCTTTGCAAAGATCGCCAATGGTACGGTTGATGAGATGAATCCTGCATGACTCATAACAAGGAATATACCATAATTCCCATAGTTTAGGGTCCTTAAGGTAATGCAGGATTTATATCATCAACCTAAACCCTAAAACCCTATAGATCCCTTAAGGAGCCCCTTCAAGGTACCCTTATAGATCCCTTTACAGGAACCCTAGGGTTTATATCATCAACAGTAGTTCAATATCACTGAATCGTTCAGGCCTAGGAGTTCCCTCGGGATTCGCCAGGGCTCTGCCGAGAGCGTCTCCCGGCTTCAGGACAAGAGCCTCCAAAACCCCTTAATTAAGGAATATACCTTAAATTATAGTAGGATCCCTAATATGATTTAAGGAATATTCCTTAATTAAGGGACAGTGGAGTCTCTGGAGACCCATCTCAAGGAAGATGCGTCTTTCCCCAAGGGTCAATGTACCCATATAGTATATACATTGGCCTTAATGTAGTCCCTATATAGGTGCATTGGGGCCCATGTATCTCTATATGGGTACATGGACCCTTAGGGTTTATGTCACTACCTAGAGTCTCCATTGTAGTTCTTTTTTTGGGTTGACCAGTTTTATGGTTAGGATCCTATAATGGAGATTCTGGTTAACCAAAAAATGGAACTACAATGGAGACGCTAGGTTGTCTCGGATGCAATGTCAGTTCTAGATCGGGCAGCGGTGTTGCAGATCCGTGTCAAGCGTTGCACAACTTCGTTCTTCTGATGGTTTGAAAGTTTTGAGCCTAGCACAGCGACCCTCGCCACGGCTGCCGCTATTGCTTGTGCTGCTGCTACTGCTGTCGCTACTGCAGCCGCAGTTCCAGCGGATACTGCCTTCATGCACTTTTACCACCACAGCCAGCATCTTCACCTTCACAGCTTCCCAATATCTGCGAAACTTCCATCACCGTCAGTATGAGAATGACTCCTGCGCGACACGACCATGATTCACAAAGTCCACCGATATCAGTACCTTGTCATCCAAAGCAATGGGAGCAATGCTAGCGAAACGGAGCATTGCGAATCTGCCGCTCAGGTGATTTGGCCGGATTGGTTGCCTGGCTGCAAGGAATACACTAACATTCATACGTAAAATATGGGGGAGAAGCTCCTGGTAGGATTCCGGGGCAGTTCTTGCTGTCCTGTTCTGTGTCAGCAGGCATTTCTGGCTTTTGTTTCGTAGGCAAGCCTGATAAAGCCTAAAAACATGGTGCCCATCTTAAAGGCGTTGATGCTCGTTTAGATTTGTGTAGAGTTTGGTGGGGTTGCAGTAGGACTTTATGTTGAGGCTTCACCATCTGGACGAGGTTGCTAGTGCAAATGTGAATGCTATTCGTCTATACTATACTTGGCTATGCTATACCATACTATCCTTTTCTATACTGCGCTACCTTCTGCTACATTTCACTAGACTGTACTACACCAGATTCCACTATACCGCAAAATATGGCTGGCCAGGTCCGGCTCCCCTTGCCATGGTCGTTGTCAGCGGGGTCACGACTAATTACCCTAAGGGTCCAAGTACGAAATTATCATATTGACCCCTTTGGATCCCTTGAAGGATCACTCGGTATTGCTTAACCCTAAGGGTCTAAGTGCACAATTATCATCTACTCTCAACAAAAGTAACCTACATAACTACTATCCCAAGCCCAAGTACCTAGTTATTGGGTCCTTTGGACCCCGAGGATAACCCTACGGTTGATGATATAAATCCTGCATTACCTTAAGGACTCTAAACTATGGAATTTATGGTATATCCCTGATTATGGGTCATGCAGGATTTATATCCCCAAACCTGAACCCTAAAACCCTATAGATCCCTAAAAGGAGCCCCTTAAAGGTACCCTTATAGATCCCCTGTACCCTCGGAGACTTTGAGCCAAAGGACTCCAAGCTCTTTCTCAGGCCAGCCCCTGCCTGCAACGGCGAAACGAAAGATGGCAAAGATGCCCCGAAACCTGGGGGGAAGGCACAGTTAGGGGCTTTGGGGGTTTATAGGGTTTAGGGTTTAGGGTTTAGGGTTTAGGGTTTAGGGTTTAGGGTTTAGGGTTTAGGGTTAGGGGCTTTGGGGGCTTATAGGGGGTTTCAAAGCAGTGAGCAGTCGGGGGCTTTGGTTGTTAAGTGGGTTTGTGTGTATAGCTTGGGGCAAGGTTGGAGTTTGCTGTTCTCGGTATGCTTGATGGGGTTCTGTGGCCAAGGTTCAGGGTCCGGTTGCATTATAAGAACGTACAATTTATAGTGCGCTTTAACTGGTAATTCTGAGGCTTTGATGCCCGGGAACCCGGGAACTGCCGGTCACGGACTTTGGGCTGTCGGGCGTCAGCTCGAAGTCCAAGGCCGCAAACCTTTCCTCGACCCGGCTGCCCGAAAACCTGAGCCTATTAGAATCGCATTGGGTTTTGCAATATGCTAAAGGGTCTAGTGGTGGCTATATTGGGGCTCGAAGGGGATACTCGTAACAACTACGCCAAAAAACTCTAAAGCCCGATAGATAGATTTTAGTAGCATAAGTATGCTCTACCGGCCCGGCTGTACCCGATATAGCTCCCGGCCCTCAACCCCAATCGAGACGGGGATTACTTAATGGTTTATCAGACATTTGTATTTAGGGTTTAGGGTTCCTCGAAGGTTTTCGGGTTTAAGGTTCCTTTAATTTTGGTTCCCAGAGCAAGACCGAGATCCACCCTGCCCAGAACTTAGGGGTACTTAGAAATAATTTTTAATTTTTGGTTATTATAATCCCTAAGAAACAGCTAAAATTATAATTTTTGCTAGGGTTCCAAGTTCAGTAGAGAGAAGTTTCAACAGCAGCATGGAGTGATCAGTTTAGCTACGGCACGGTTCTTGGGGACTCTACCTTTTATTGTAGGATCCTTCAGGGAGGGGGGGTCAAGGGAGATTCTACTACCTGTTGTTATGGGATCCTTAAGGGAACGGGGTTCAAGGGGGGATAAGGTTCAACCCTGAAACTATCCTCCCTTAGTGATCCTCGGATTTTGGACAGTTTCCGGAGCAACAAGCGTAGACTTTTCGCAGATGAAACCCTCAAGCCTGAGCCCCAGAACCCTTTAGCTCTAAACCCCGAGGCCCTGAAGCAAAAAGCCCAAACCCGAAACCCTAAACCCCCACAGGCCAAATCCCGAATTGCAAGGCCACGGAGAAGTTGCCGGATGGGCTGTGAGGCTCGGGCCCTGGCTGAGGGTATACTGGGTTCTTGCTAAGGAAGTTAATCTAAGTTATATACCATGATAGGGATCTAAAATAAAGACTGCTTTCCTTATCATGGTAGCTTAAATTGAGTGCCTCAACAAGAACCCAGTATAAGGGCTCGTAGAGTGGCGTGTCTGGGACATACCGGAGGTTAAAGGGTTTATAGAGTTTGATACTTACAGACTGCAATGTTGACTACATGAACATGTTGTTTACTTGTTTAGGACTCATCTGGAATCATGTTGGGGCTTGTTCGGGCATCTGGAATCCACGGTCTTGGCTTCTGGCTAAGTCTTTTGGTCTCAAGTGTAACTTAAGGTTTTGAATTTGGGTATTGAGGTCTGGGCGAACAGATGCACAGAGGCCCATAATTTCCTTTCTACTCACTTGATTGGAGTTCAACACGGAACCAGACATTCGAAGCTCGAAGCGCTCTTCACCCTAAACCAGCAACCATCACCTCCCAAACCCGGGAAGCTTTTCACCGCTGAGGAGCACAGAAGGGACGGGATGAGCGTGTCAACCCCCCTGCTGCGGCGGCTCTGACTCGAGGGTTTAAGTTGAGACATCGTCGTGACTGTATCTAAGCCGAAGTGTGTTTAGAAGTCACAGAACCGCAGCCTGAAGCCCTGAACCTTAAATCGATGTACCCCAAGCTTGCGACCCTACAGAGTCCTGAACACTCCGACCTGCTGTGGAGTTCGTGCCATCAAGGCTACGAGCTTTTGGACTTTCTGCCGTGCTCCAGTGTGTAGGGCTTACAGGGCTTATGGCTTTCCACTGTGACGTGATGGGCTGTCGTGTCCAGACACAAAGTAGGCTCATAGGTCATTTTCCTAGGGGTTTCCTGTTGAATCTGAAGTAAGGAACAGAAGGTAGGAACTCCTAGACCTTACCATAAGCCCCCAGATGACCTACCGCTTGATTATTTATATAAGTGGACAGCACATTGCAGAACCTGAAAAAGAAGGCTTTTCAGGGTCTGGTCCAGGTGAACCCTGATCTTCTTGCTTAGTCCTTCTGCTGCTTTCTCACGGAGAGGGTATGTGGGGTATATTAGAGGGTAGTTTGGGCGGGTCTAGGTAGAACCCTTCTAGAACCATTGTAGCCTTACAGAGCCTTGTTAGAACCCCAAGAAACTCTAGGAAAGCTTCAGGATGCAAACCTCCTTTCTGTAACTCCCTATAGAACCTTGTAGAACCTCTAGAACCCAGAGAAAGCTTTGTGATGCAAGCCTCATTAAGAGCCTGTATAGTATAGAGCTTGGGCAGAGCTGTTTTCAACCCCTCAAACTCAAAAACCCAAAGTGAAGCTCTGAATCCTTAACCCCTAAGCGTAAGCCACTGAGCCGGTGGCTGCTCCTGAAGAGGTCTCATCTCTGTCTCGCTTAGCTGCGGTGCAAATGTCCAACCTCGCTAGTAAGAAGCCTGACACGTACTTTAATGTTCTTCCCGGGGGTTCCGTATTAGGGGGGTTAGGGTTAGGATTGCTATCCTATTCGCATTATCAAGGCCCCACATCGTTTTTCTTGAGAACTAGACATGGGCTTCGTAAATTCATAGGTTTGGCCCTGAGCCGTGCACCCTGAGAGTTCGAAACGTGCCCCACCCCCTAAGCCATGTTTAAAGTTTGGGGCCTATAGGGCCTCAGCCCGACTCGGTTTGCACCATCAAAGTATCCGGATCCTACCTTCGAGACCCTAAGGGTCCATGTACCCATATAGTATATACATTGGCCTTAATGTAGTCCCTATATAGGTACATTGGGGCCCATGTATCTCTATATGGGTACATGGACCCTTTGGGAGAGAAAGCCCTGCTTTCTCCGAGCCCTACATCCTGAAAGTCTTCACTTTCGCATTTTACCCTCCCTAAGCCGAACAAGACCTTGACTTTACACCAGTTTACAAAGCGATTCCGGACATGTTGAATCCGGCTAGCTGGACATTTGCACCGTCCGGGGTGTGCGAGCAAGTCTCTCGGTTTGGGCTTGTGCCTTCCATGTCGACACTGCGAGCGGATTAAAGGTTCATGCCTCAGGTTACGATGCTAGTTGGGCATCTTTTGGGTTTTGGACTGGTGGTGAGTGTTCCTTCATGTACAAGTATAAGTACGCAATTTATTGGCATGCCATGTAGGAATCTGCGTGAGGAATGACAGGATTGTAGGACATTGCAGGAAGCGGGTGCACAACCACCCTCAGTCCTTAGCAGAGCTTTTAATCTGGTTCCGTTGCATTACCTGGAACTACCGAAACCTATTTTTTTGGTCGGGCCCTGTAAAAAATTCTGTAACAGGGCTTATAGCCAGAACCTACAACAAAAGTAGGTTCTGGTGGCTTAAGCTGCGGTCCTTTCCATCCAAGGCTCCCTGTCAGATTTCTACTTTGGGAGTTGCAGAGACAACAAGGGTGCAGCATCCTGACAACGCAGATGTGGATTCTGGATAAAAGGGCCCCAGGACGATACTACTTTCGCAGACCACCCCTCACATCATAATAGGTGAGCACTGGGCTGAGGGTTGAACTTCAGACTGAGGCAGTCCCGGATGATCTTGGTTCTTTATCATGCGATCCTTTCATCGTCTGAAACTCCCATGGTAGGCTTAGGATTTGGGATTGAGTATGTATGGAAAGCACCTAGATTTGTGCATTCGGGTTTGGATACTGTGACAAGGAGCCATCTCTTCTTAATCCTAGCTTCGTGGCAACATGCTCCAGAGACTTGACGTGCATTCCCGTTTTCGCCTGCAGTAAAGGGGCCAGTTTCGCACTGCTCCTCTGCATGCCGATTCTTCACCAAGTTTTAGACCGGCACGCCTGAGGTGCAAGAACCTCGGTCCTTCCCGGTTTAGGGTTTAGGGTTGGGCTTACTTTGGGCGGTCATGCAGCGCACACCACAGAGATCCCACAGAAATCAGACTCGTATTGTGCATGAGTTGGGGAGCCCGTATCCCAACTTGGAGAAGTGCCCAACAAAAAGCCAAAGCGCAAGCCCTCAAGCCCGGAAGCACACAAAAGACCTCAACCTCATGCGACCAGAAGCACCTGGGGTGCCGCTTCACGAACACCGCCGGTCATGTCCGCACCTTCCCCCGTTGAGCGGCTTGGTGTTTTGGGGGGTGTAAAGTAAAGGACGGCTGTGACTGAGGATTAGTTCAGAGTTTAGGGTTGAAGGACGTATGAATAGGGTTTGGGGTTGAAGGGTCGAAGGTTTCGTTGAAGGCTTGAGGGTTTGAGGTTTTGAGGTTTGAACCCATGTAGTCTTTCATCATGAGGCCAACAGCGCTACGCACAGCATCATAACCGGAATTCCCAGAGCTGGTCATCCCCAAAGACTGCCAAACTACCTCAAATAAGAGTAAGTAAAACACCTTGAGAAATCATAGGCGGATCCTCTGTGTAGCTTGATGTGTATGGCGCCTTACAGCCTCAACTCTTCATCGGACAATGCTCAAAGGTTTGGAGTCTTGAGGTTTTAGGGCTGTGAATCGTAACAGATGCCCTCGGCAAAATATTCAAGGTTCTGCCATAGCAGCGTGAGAGCTACATACCTCGTCACTTCGAGACTAGACGAAGCAGATCGACGAAGCATCGTTGGACTCAGCAGCAAAGACACACAAGTGTCTGAATCCGACACCCAAAGCCTAAACCGCGAGGTAGATTTGTCAGGCAGCGGGCTTTTCAGCGACAGCGCGGGCACAACAGCTCCGCAAAGCCGGCAGCCCTTGCCAACCAAAATGCCCAGCTTGGTACACAACCAGACCCTTCAGTGCCCAGGGTAATTCTAGGATTTAGGGACAATTAGGGCCAGAAGGCATCAGGCGTTAGGATTTAAGGTTTCTTGTTAGGGATTTAGGGTCTATAGGCTTTGCAGCTGTTCACGTTTAGCATTTAGGGCTTAGTGTTCAGGCGAGCAGGGTGAAACTTCATGATGTGGAGAGTCGCAGACTTGGTTGGCAATCCCTGCGAGACTCAGTTCTGCATGCGTCGAAAAAAGATCGAGTACCCAGTTCGTTCGGAAGCCACGCCAGCATATTGAGCTCTCACGTGCCTTACAATTGTTAGAGTAGCGTTACCGTATAACCTGCTACGTAACGTGCAGAGCGGGTGCTTATTATTGCAGAACACGTTTCGGTTCTGTTGGGCATGTTGACAGGCGGTGCTATTTAGGAGGAGGGCTGTGAAAGGGAAACAATTCCTGAGAGGAGCAGTCGCAGCAACATGAAAACGTATCCATAGTATCGGAAGTAAGGAATTGCATAGTGGCGGAGAGCAAGAAGTCAATCTGAACGAATGATAAAAGCAGTACAAACCAACGAAAACAGGTACGCCGTTATCAATAGTTATCAATAGAAAAGCTTACTGAAGGGGAGCCGTGGCTATACATCGGACCCTTAACCCCAAGCCCCAGACGAGGAAGCGAGAACCGGATGTCCGACAGAGTAACTCCACAGGCGGCTTAACATGAGCTATAGGGGTTTAGGAGGGTTTAGGGCTTTAGGGGTTAAGGCTTCAGGGTTTATAATAGAGCCGTAAGACATGTCAGGCGTCCAGCAGATCTCGAAGACGGAAGCGAGCTTTGGCAAGCCCATCCCCTCAGAACCGGTGTTTGGGCTTGAGGTCTTATGCTCCGGAGCGTGAGGGGTTATAGGCTTTGCGTTCCTGTGGCGATCAAGTGGCGGGAGTGGTTGAATGCAAGTCTTGGGCTTCGATGGATTTCTGTCTGTTAGTCTAGTGTTTTGGATTTGGCGCCGTGGGGGCTTGGCTTCTCCGGACTCTCGGTTCGTTTCCGAAGTCTACCCGTACCCGGTTCGAGCTCATGCTACGGCGGCAAGGACGACGACGACTGCGACGGCGATGAGTTCAGCGAGGAAGATAACTCCATGCTGCGACTGCTCCTGTTGCAACGTCTACTGCTACCATGTTGGACCTCTACTACAGACCCTAACGACTGCGGACTGCGAACAGTTT